AGGAGCCTCCCTGACATACCCCAGTGCCCCCCCAGCTCCCCTTACACAGGGGAGAGGTGATAACCCATCTCCCACCTCCCCTCGGACACCCCAGTGCTCCCTGTGCCCCCCAGTCCCCTCACACAGGGGAGAGGTTATAACCCATCCCCCCCCCCCCTCGGACACCCCAGTGCTCCCTGTGCCCCCCCAGCCCCCCCTCACACAGGGGAGAGGTTATAACCCATCCCCCCACCTCCCAACAGGTTCTCCCAGTCCCAAAGGATCAGCCTCAGTCCCCAGGACAATTTACACCTTGGATCTCACTCCAAGGAGCTCGCTGGGCCAGCGCTTTAGAAACTAAAATCCAAGGTTTCTGACTAGAAGGAAGGCCAGGCCGAGAGGGACATGGGTGAGAGACCGTCACCTTACATGCCTCAGTCCCCACCTTCTTGTCTGGGCACCACAATTCCAGACAGATGTGGAGAAATTGGAGGGTCCAGAGAAGAGCAACACAAATTCCTGAAGGTCTAGAGCACGGGAGCTGAGGGCAGGCTGGAAGAACTGGGCTGTTTAGTTGGGAAAGGCGGGTGCCACTGTAGTGTAGACGTACCCTGGGAGGGGACACGAGAGCCGTTTTCAGGTACCTAAAAGGGTGTCAGGGAGGAGGGGAGAATTGTTCCGCTTGGCCTCCGAGGACAGGCCAAGCAGCCAGGGGCTTAGCCTGCAGCAAGGGGGGCTGAGGTTGGACATGAGGGAAAACGTCCCGCCTGTCCGGGGCTGACACACTGGGGTACGGTGCCTGGGGGCTGTGGAATCCCCCTCCCTGGGATCTCCAGGGCAGGTTGCACAGACGCCTGCCAGCGACGGGAGACAAGGCTGGGCCCTGCCGGGGGGCAGGGGACTGGACTCTCTGGCTCCTGAGGTGCCTGCCAGTTCTAGGGGGCTGAGACACTCCGATTCTCGGGAGGCTCCCTCATGATACTGTTATAACCTTCTCCTGGGGGCTGGCCCCCCCGACGGGCTGGTCCTGTGCCCCCCCCTCAGTCTCTCCCCTTTCTAGCCAGGCGCCCTGTAGCACCAGGGCGGGAATTCCCAGGCAGGGCCGTGGGGTGCTCCTCCGCTCCCCCCCCCCCGCCACACTGAGCAACCGCCCAGCAGAAAACGTAAAACAACCCGAGCCCCTGGCCCGTCCTTCCCGCGCAGACGCACGAGCTGCCCCGTCAGAGCCAGCAGTGCACCTGCTCCTGGGCACCTCGCTTGGCCGTCGTGGCACCC